ACACTGCCAGTCTTTCATAACCTGCCAACTAGAAATGGGCTTCATCTATTTTAATGATCGGAGGCAGGAGTCAAAACAAGAATAATATTTTATGACATGTGAAAATGATATGAAATTCAAATTTTAGTGCCCATAAAGAAGTTTTATCGGGGCACAGCCATGCTCATTTATTATGCATTAGCTGTGGCTGTTTTCATGGGAAAAGAAATCACAGAATATTGCTACAATCTTGAACTGAGGATGCTTTTCTAATCAAGATGTAAAAGTCGGAGGCCATAAAGTGATTGACAAACTTGGTCTCATAAAAAGTCAGACATTCTAAACAAAGTTAACATCATAAAACACTTGAGAGGCATCAGGAGGGAGGTTCAGCGCAGAGTGAGCCTCAACACCCAGCAACGCTGCTTCCAGCCACGTGTCTTGCGCTCTTGGCCAACGCTTCTTCTCTCTCATTTTTTGTCAGTAAAAAGATTCAGTGGAAGGTATATCACAGATTAGGGGACTGAGCATCTCCCGTGGAGGGTGAGGCTTCCCCTGAGGTGCCGGGGACAGCACTATGCACAGACACCCGGCAACCTCCAGGGATGCCCACACGAGCAGCACCCTGATTGGAGACAGCAAAACAGTGTCCATTCCATCAACACAGAGACTAAAATCGATTAAGTTGCTTCCTGCTTCCCTTGCTTGATCTACCTAGTCCTGTCTCTGTTTAAATACCAACAACCCCAAATCCTGGAACCTTCAGTAAACTGGGAGACCCATCACCCTAGCGCCGAGACAGTCTGCTGGTTTCTACGTCTGTGGGTGTTTCCCTTTTCACAGATTCCTGAGAATCCCATGAAGGGTCTAAGAAAGTCCTTTGCTAGGAAAATAGGTAAACTCACAAGTGTGTGGAGTTTTTCTATGAAATTTCAGACAGATAAAAACATCTCCAGAAAATTAATAGACGACAGAGCTAGGAATGGGGTTCAGTTGGTAGAATGTTCGCCAACATGATTCCTTGGATTTGAGCCCCAGTCCAGACTAAACCTGGCTTGTTGCTGTGTGTTTATAATCTCTCTCTATCTATCTATCTATCTATCTATCTATCTATATATATATATATATAATCTATAATTGGAGGAGGTGGAGGCAAGAGGATCAGAAGTCTAAGGTCATCCTTGGCTGCATAGAAAGTCTGAAGCTAGCCTGGGTTACATAAGTCACTGTCTCAAATTATTTAAAAAGGTAGAGATTTGCTATAATGAAAAGCTTTTGAACGTCAACAGGAGTGATGGCAGAGCAGAGACAATGGAGGGACGGGGAGAATGGATGTGCAAACTGCAGCTAACAAAGATAGCTAGCATCCAAATACAGAAAGGAGCCATAACAGAAACTCAACCTAACTTTAAAATAGCCAAAAGCTGGTTCTCAAAACAAAACAAGCAAACAGGTACTGGAGAGACAGCTCAGTGGTTAATAGCACTGACTGCTCTTGCAGAGAACCTGGGTTCAAATCCCCTTCTGGCCTCCACAGGCACCAGACACACATGTGATGTACAGACATGCAAGCAAAACACCCATACACATAAAGTTAAAAAAAAAAAAGAAAAAGTTTGAAGAAGACAAACAAGTGCTGGGTGGACATGAAAAGATGCCTCTCCCATTTAATGGGGAAATAGAAGCAGAGACCACAGGAGCCAACGCCTTACGCTTGCTAGAATGGCTCTTAGCGATAGACAAAAGTGGTGAGTGTGCAGCAAAACGGAACTCATACCCCATTGATGCAAATCTCAAGGAGTATAGCCATTCCGGAAAGCACTATGGAGGCTCCTCAGAAAACTAAAGACTAAAAAGAGAACTGCTAGACAGTCCAGCAACCCCACTTCTGGTACCTGTCCATAGAACTGGAGAGAGCATGTCGGAAAGATGTCTATGCTCTCGTGTTCATTGCGGCATAATGAACAAGACACAGAAACCACCTCAATACATGTCAGCATGGGAGCAGATAAGGAAGTGTGTATGCGCAATGGAGGGCTACTCTACCTTAGTGGGAATCCTGTCTCCTGTCTTTGTGGAACTGGAAATCATTACGCTGGGTGGAATAAATCAGAAAAACTCATACTCTGTGATCTCTAATGTGGAACCTAAGAAAGAAAAGTCAGTTTCTTAGAACCCGGGAATAGAAAGGCTGAGAGGAGGGGGGACTGAGGAAAAGGAGATCTTCATCAAAGGCTGGTTCTTGATGAAGGACTAAGCTTTAGTAATCTCTGTACCGATGACCACAGCAAAGGACGATGTGTTGTACACTTCTATTATGGTTTGGAATAAAATTTTCCGTGGGGACTGGGAAGATGCCTTGGCTAAAGTAAGAATGTACACCTGATGCTTGGTGCGCAGAGCCAGGATCTGAGGTCAAATTGGTAGCATCTGCGCAGAAAGCTGGGCATGGCAGCTCATGCACCTCTAACCCCAAGGCTGTGAGAATACAGAGACAGGACGGCTGGGGCTTCCTGACCGCCAGTCTAGCTCCATGGTCAGTGAGGGACCCTGCCTCCGGGAACAAGGTGACACATGATGACTGGAGACACAGATGTCCTCCTCTGGCCTCCATACACACATACGAGTCCATTCACATGTGCACACATTACCTCCATGTGTTGAGTCAGTTTTCTGGCTGATAATACTGTGTGGGGAAGCTGAGGAGCCCTAAGAGAGAGGGCCAGTGCATGTCAGAAGTAACTGTCCAGGACCAGTTACACCCAGTCTGGCTATCTGTTTCCCAATATTACCTGGTGAACCAGCCTCCACTTCAAGCTCCCTCTGCCCACTGTTTCTTCCCCAGCCTTACGGTCCCCCAAATAAGCAGAGATCTCTGAAACCTTGAGCCAACATCAGCCCTCTCCCCCCCGCTTTATTATTTCTAGCAAGTGTCTTGCCACGGCTGTGAGCAAAGAGACCCGATCTCAACACTTTGAATGAACAGCCTTTTAACCTTCTCACGACAAACGAGAGGAAGGTTGGGAGGAGGCAGTGGCTACGGCAATCAGCTGTGGAACCTTTCCACAGTGAACCAAGGCATTGGGCTTTCTCCACAGATGTCCACTATTGTTTTTGTCGATTTAAACATTCGAAAAAAAATAGACGTTTAAGCATCCTTTGTGGGGGACGTGGGTTGAGAGGGGATCTCAGGTGTCTGACTATATAGCCAGGCTAGCCCAGAACGCGAGTCTGTCCTGTCTCAGCCTCCCCAGGAGCCTCAATTAGATGGGGAGTCGGCTGGCCCTGCCCAGTCAGAGGCTGTCTGAGCAAAATTTGCTGAAGTCTTTGGATGCCCATTTTGCTAGACAAGGGACAGCAGGGTTGGGCTCACTGTTTTACAAGAAGTCCTACTGTTAGATGTTTGCTAAACCTTGGGTATTATTGACAACATCTGTGTTGATTCAGACGGCAGGCATTAACCCTTTGCTGCCTCATCAGGCTTACTGCAGTGACTGGCTTCTGCCTTTATGCACCTAACTTTGGGTAAGTACGAGGTTGTGGGGCCCAGGGCTTGATCCCAGGACATTCTGCAGGCCTTTTTGCTGTGCCCAGGGATGTAAAGTCTACTGGGAACAATGGCTTAACCATTATCTCCTGGCTGTCCACTTTTAGTACATAAGGAAGCCATTTCCCTCCCCCACAAAGATGAGGGTCAGAGGTGTAGGTCGTGTGTGTGGGCCCCAGCTGTTCTGAGTGTCTCTGGAAAGCTCCTGTTGTCCCAGGCTAAGCAGACTTGGCGTTTTTTTCACCTGGGGGCCTACTGCGGGGTATTTGCATAAACTAAACCATCGGAGGAGGTCTGTGCTGTGTGCTTTAAAGGGCGTTTTCAGGCCCAGGTGCAGCTCAGTGGTGGACCACGAGCTTGGCAAACAAGGCCTGAGGTAAAATTCCCAGCACCACATTAAGCACAGGTTTTACACCCACTGTGCGAGCTGCCAGGCCTGGGCCAGGGCTCGGCTCAGGCCTCTTCCTAGGGGCGAAGGGGAAACAGGCCTCAGGCCAAGCTTCTGTGCAAGAAGGCTTTGCAACTGAGGCAAGGAAGACCTGGGTGTCCACTCCAGTTCCCAAATCGGCCTCTGTATCTGGCTTTGGGATGGTGCTTGGGAACCTGGTGGGCAGCGGCAGTGCCCTGAGGCTACTGACTGGGGCAGGGCAGCAACCCCTCCCTTAGGAGTGTCTAGGCAAAACTCTGCCAGTCAGAGGTCTGCGGCTGGGCCGAGAAAGTTCTATGGAGCTTTTGGGATTCTGAGGAGTTGTTTGACCCCCAGGCAGAATCTCCAAACATCAGGTTCCGGTTCTATTTCCTTCCCGAGAGCATCTCAGAGCCCGTGAGGTCTCTCTCGCAAAGCCCTCGCTTCCATGCTGCTCACTACCTCCCCTTAAGCTCCAGGTTCCCGGCAAACCCATAAAGGCCTCGGCGAAGACTCCCAGGCAGCTGAACGGAGCTTGAGTTTCAGATAAAGCATAATTGATCAGGAGGTATGGGTCCCAAACGGCATCCCAGGCTCCGTGTAGGAATTTGTTGTCTGCTTGGATTTCTGACGTTACTACACCTGATTTGCTCAGTCTGGTAACCTGGCCTACCTGGTGTAGGACAGACGTGACCTGCTGAGCTGTCCATGACCCAACACCCTCCCCTATTCCCCACCCCTACCCCAGAGAAGGCACCCAGGTACTCACCATATCGGCACCGGTACTGACAGATTCCATTCTTCCCTCCCAGCAACTCCATGAAGGAATCAACATAGCTGTTGACCGACTCGAAGCTGCCCCGCAGGTGCCGCAGGCCCCAGTCCGAAAAAGACTCCTCTCCCTTGAGGCTGGGATCACTCTCAGCCAGGCTGCCCACCAGGCCAAGCCACAGGAGGAAGAAGCCGCAGGGCAGCTTCATCCTGCACACAAGTAGGACGCTGCTCTCGTCCCCCCCACCCCAGCCAGGGTCCCAGGAAGCCTGGGGAAACACACACACAGCCCCGTGCCTGGCCTTATCGGAACAGTCAGTCTGTGTTCCCCAGAGGTGGACTTTAAACACAGCCATGGAGGCCGGGAGCAGATCCGAGCGATTAGAGAGGACAAAGGTGAGACCGTGGGAGGGTTTGTATGAGGCTGGCCTAAGAGGGGACTTCCAGTGGACCCCGAAGAGCTGGAGGGGATGGCTGCACTCTGGGAATGGGGGAAGGGAGCCCGGGGATTCTGCTGTACCCTGGGGCTCCTCAGGCTTCTCGACTGCAGAGCTTGTCCAAAGATAACAGCCACACCCCTGAGTCACTTCCTCCTCTCCACCTGTCCTGTGGAGGCCCAGGAGGGTGTGTGCAAGGCTCCGGCGGCCTGACTTGGGGTCACCTTCGCCGACGGACAGGTTGCCATGGCCTAAACTCTTAAGTGTGCCTGGGTGAGAGTTCAGATTTCAGTCTAGCTTCTGCCTGGGTCCCTCCTTGTCTCTGAGATCCTTCCATCTGGAAAGGTCCGGATATCCTCTCAGAGATGAGTCCGATTCTGAATCTGCAGTGCTGTGTCCTAAGATCCTGAGGCCTACAGGAGGTCCCAGGACTGTTAGGGGACATACCGCTCTGGTAGTGATGGGTTTTTCCTTTGAGGTAGGTCAAAGTCCAGGCCACTATCAGAAAGCCTGTTTGAGATTCCAAGTGTTGAGACTACTCACGGCAGCCCAGGGTTTGGGCATCACTTTCAGGGTAGTTTGCTCTTGGTCACGTGAATAAATACCTATAAAGTCACTAATCTGGAAAATGACACCGTTGTGTACTAAGTAATCGTTCGACTGCTTTCTCAGGTGTCATGAAAGCCCTGTAGAAAATATTAAACCTAAGAACATCCTCATTTTAGGTAAGAAATATGTTCATCTAAAGACTTAACGTCCAGGAAGGGTAGTAGTTAAAATGCGCTTCTAGTGTGCACGATTGTTGTGTGAACTTAAAGAGAAAGCAGTAATAATGCCACCCAGTGTTTAAAGCATGTACACATTCCAAACCAATCAGTCTCTTGTCTGTCTCGACCCCTCTCCACGCCTACCTCTCCTTTCCCGTCTCTCTCTGACTTCCTGTTTCTCTGTGTCTCTCTGTCTCTGCCCCCTCCCTTCCTCCAACCCTCCAGATATTCATGCCTATTCTAGGCAAGGTTGATATCATTTCCATTTGAGTCATAAGAAATCACGCAGAGGTTAAATGACTTTATCACGTTGGGCTGGAGACCAGCCAAGGCTGGGCGAGGGCCAGTGACATAACTGATGAGATCATAGCAAAGCAAAACTGTGGAACTCTGTGTGTCTGTGTGTGTGCACATGCGCGCGCAATGCCCTGAGTTCCCTCTCTAGCTACCCAAAACAGAAAAGAGGTCATTAAAGATACGATAAACGCAAAGGGTTTGGAAAAGATTTTATAAATTTATTTTTAGTTGTATGTGTCCATGTGATGGTGGTGGTATGGGCATGTGCACGTGAGCACAGGAGCCTGTGGCACACAGAGGATGCCCTGGAGCTGGAGGCTGTGAGTCACGTGACACAGGTGTCAGGCTCTGAACTCAGGCCTCTGTAAAAAGCAATATAGGCTATTAACTGCTAAACTCTGGTGGGTTTCCTCTTTAAAAAAAAGTCTGCTTATTTTTTGTAAGTGCAATGATAATAGTGGTACATGAGAACATGTATATAAAAACATATGTTTTAATAATGTATGTTGTGCTGGTCATGAGAACTTTACTGAAAATTCATTTACATCAGCAAAGCTTAGACTTGGCTCTGGCTCAGTTCCAATATAACTGAAATTCCAGCTTCTCTAAACAGACACAAGTAATACTGTACAAATTTTTTAGTTTCAAGTAGGATTTTTTGTATGTGTGCTTATGCCATTGTTAGTGGCACTGTTGATAGACTATTTCCTTTATGGTTGTTTTGGTTTTGGTGCTTTGAGACACGGTTTCTCAGTGTAACAGCCCTAGCTGTCCTGGAACTAGCTCTTGTAGACCAGGCTGGCCTTGAATTCACAGAGATCCACCTGCCTCTGCCTCTCGGAGTGCTGGGATTAAAGGTGTGCACCACCACCACCCAGCAGATTTTTTTAACCTAAATTTTGAGGGGGGGTGCATATTATTTTAAGTATTTTTGAGGGTATAGTGCATGAATGGTGTTAATCATATTAATGTATTGTCATGTGACAGGCACCAGGACCATTTCCAAAGCTTTTTCATCCTAAACTGAAATTCTCCACCTGCATTTTCCTCTCCCCTCTACCTCTGTCTTTCTAATGAACTTGAATAGTCTTGGTGCGTCAGAGAAACAGAATCCTGTAATGTGGTCTCGTGTGTTGGCTTCTTTCTCTTAGCGAGGTGGTTTTTAGCCCGTCTGTACGGTGTCTGCCAGTGCCTCCTTACAGTGGACGAAGCCCCTGTGAGCACTAAAGGAGATTCTTGACCTCCCAGTTCTTTGACGGGTATGTCTGGAGTTGAATTTTCTGGATGTGTTATTTATTTAGCCGTTTGAAGATCTATTACCCAGGCCTTTATCTGTGGCTCTACTGACCCAGTGAGATTAGAGGGTCCCCATTCCCCCACAACTTTCTGCTTAAGTTGTCAAAGAGTTTGTATCTCTTATTATTTCAAAGAACCAAATCTTGGTTCATTGATTCTTTGGATCTTTATTTTTGTTTCTATCACATTGATTTTGGCCTATATCATAATTATTTCCCTCATGCTACTGGTGTGGTGTTAGTATGTTCTTGTTTTTCCAGGGTCTTAAGGTACATCATTAAGATATCAATTTGAGATCTCTCTGATTTTTTTATGTAGTCACTCATTGATATAAATAATTCTCTTATGACTTCCTTCTTTGTGGCACATTGAATTTAGTATGTTCATCCCGTCCTAGGTAGGTTTTAAATCTCCTTTATTTCTTCAGCATTTCTTCATTTCTTCAGTATTCGCCATTCTGTAGTGTGCCATTCCATCTCCATGAGCTTGTGTTTGTTGTTGTTCCTTTTGTTTTATCTACCTTTAGTCTGCTATGGTCAGAATTCAATGTTATTTCAATTTTCCTATGTTTGTGGAGATTTACTTTTATCCTAATATATGACCTATTTTTGAAGAAAGTTCCATGGATTGCAGAGAATACTGTGAACCCTTTAGTATTTGGATGGAATGTTCTATGGGTGACTATTCCGTTCATTTGATCTATGATGTAATTTAATTTGAATGTCTCTTTGTTGATTTTTTTTCTGGGTGGCCTCTCTCTTGTTGAGAATGGGGTACTGAAGTCACCCACTGATACTGTTCAGGACTGATCTGCAACTTTATATTTAATGGTATTTATGAAATTTGGTACATCTGTGTTTGGGGCATATATGTTCAGAATTCTCTCTCTCTTTTTCTTTCTTTCTTTTTTTTGGGGGGGGTGGGATTTCTCTGTGTAGACCCACCTGTCATTGAACTCACTCTGTAGTCCAGGCTGGCCTCACACTCACAGAGATCCACTTGCCTCTTCCTCCAGAGTGCTGGATTAAAGATATGTGCCACCACCACTATGCCCAGCTTGTTAGTCTACTTTTTATCATGGGAAAGTTTTATTTTCCCCTCCATGATAACAGTTAGTTTTGCTGGGTATAGAAGTCTGGTTTGGCAGTTCTCATCTCTGGGACTTTCTAGCTTTTAAAGTTTCAGTCAATGATCTACTGCTATTCTACTGGGCCTTCCTTTATATGTGACTTGGTGTTTCTCTCTTGCCACTTCAGTATGCTTTTGTTGTTGTTGTTGTTTATATTTATAATATGATAAGAGGGGATTCTTTCTTGGTCTTGGGGCATTTGGGATCCTAAATACCTCCCGTTTTTAACTCTGTTTTTAACACTGAGATACTGTCTCTTCTGATTCTTTTGAAAATGTTTATTCTGCTTTTAGAATGCGATTCTTCTTCTATGCCTATTATCCATAGGTTGGAATCCCTACTGATACCTGATTTTGTCCTTGTCCTAGTTTGATGGCTACCTTCTTCTGCCTTGCCTCCAAGCTCAGACAGTCTGTCCTCCTCTTCATTCGTTCCATTGCTGACACATTCCACTGAGTTTTCTTTTGTTTTATCTCTTCCTGTGTTTTGTTTCATTTCTAGCATTTCAGGTGGGTTTTTCTTCAACAGTTATTGAATAAAGACAGTTAAATTCCTCTGTTTTTAAATACTTTCTTTTAACATTTAGTTGTGGGGGGGTGCATGCACATGCTTCTGTGCACCTGTGGAAGAAGTCAGAGGTTCGGGAGCCTGTTCTCCCCTTTTACCATATGGGTTCCAGGGGTCCCACTCAGCAGTCAGGCTTGGCATAGGGCACAGTTACCTGCCAAGCCGTCTCACTGGCTCCTGGACTCTGCTTTCTTACCTTGCACTGGCTTTCTTATTTCTCCCAGCTGTTTCTGTTTAATCAGGGGTCTATTTTCTTGTTGTTGTTGTTATTGTTGTTGTTGTTGTTGTTGTTCTTCTTCTTCTTCTTGACATTTCCTTTCTTTCAAAGATTTATTTATTTATTAGTATATACTGTTTTGCCTTCATGATGCCTGCAGGCCAGAAGAAGGCACCAGATCTCATTACAGATAGTTATGGGCCACCATGTGGTTGCTGGTAATTGAACTCAGGACCTCTGGAAAAGCAGCCAGTGCTCTTAACCACTGAACCATCTTCCCAGCCCTCTTAATTTTTTGAACATATTTGAAATCATTATTTTGAGTTCTTTGGGATTTCATTTAACTCTCACTAGATTCCATGACTGTAGAAATAGTGATTTTTGGAGGCATTGTCCTGGTTTTAGTGCTTTCGGTGTTACTGCGTTGGGGTTGACATGGCTGGTGCTATTTTGCTGATGTATTCTTTCAGTTTAAATGTTTGCAAAGTTTGTGCAAGACTTGCATGTGACAGAGCTGAGTGTATAGTTCAGGAAACTCAGTCCAGGGGCTTGGTACCTGGGATAAAGTTTGTTATTTTCTGAGGGAAGCTAGTAACTGGGAGAGCATCCACAGCTGTGTGCATTACCACTATGCAAATGTCCCACTAGCCAAAGAGCAACAGCGGCCTCTTTAACTTCAATAACTG